GGCAAAACCTTGGTATTTTCACAAGTGCTGACTTGGATTTCGTGGTCAGCTGTAGAGTTGTGACAGGCCCTGTGGGTCTGCCTGAAAGGATGAAAACTCAGATTTGGCTGTGGAGTGCTGTGGGTCATGGCACCAACCGGTTCACCTACCTGGTGTCGGTCGAACTCGCTACTTGGTGGACTGGTCGGGGTCCAGGTAGAAAGACCATGAAAGACCATGTGGTCTTCCTAGAGCTCCTGCCCCGCATCCTCGGCTAGTTCCACCTGGCCCTGACCCCACGCCTTCTCACAGAGGTAGGCTAGGACACCAATTCATCCAGCATATGAACTTCAACCTCACCCTCCCACGATGGCCCGTGCTGTCACCTTGGCCTGACTGGTACCCGGCGTCAACGATGAGGTCGACCGAAGTAAACCCCATGGTTTCAACACCCATCGACCCCATCGTCGCCTTTTTGCCCGGAGATGGCGGTCATGGCAGCAGTGGTTGGCTAAACGCGAAGAGAATGGATTACAGTATATACTTGCTGGAGGATGACCCACAACCATCCCAGACATCGCAGACATGATGTTCCATTCCCATCCCAGACACGAGTTTACTGGGACGAAAGACAAGTTGCCGCCCCAGAAAGACCCCTCACCCACCCCAATGTAGGATCATGTAGAGTCCCATGGTCAGCCCCATGAGTCGTGTTTGGGCGCTTTCTGGCTCCATCAATGAACGCGACTCCATCGGCTCATGTAGAAGTGCCGTCTCCGGTCTGTTGAAGTGCCGTCGGCGGCAAGCGATGAGAATAGGTATATGATAATGGCTTTAATCACACCGTCCTTGGATATCCTTGGTATAGGAAAAATCGGTTCATAAAGTTGTGGGCCTTTGAGGACTCAGAGAAAACACGTTTGGTTTCATCCGTATCACCCACAACCGGGTCCCTTGAGAGCCAGGGTCCCTTGAGTCATTAAGGATGTCGCCATGTCGCACAAATCCTTTGATGAAAGGCTATCCTATCATGTTCGTCGCTTTCAAGGCAAACAACCACGGAATGTCTTGAAACGGTACGAGCAGCGCCTTCATGTGGCACTGAAATCCGATGAGCTGCAGAAGTATGCATTTCATGTGGCCGCTTGGGTTGCAGAGCTTCCAGCTGAGCAGATGTGTCTTCAGTATGATGGGCTGTCTGCCGTGTCACTTTTGCAGCAGTACGTACGATCCTTTAAGCAGGCGAAACCTTTGTGTGAACATTTGACAAAGGTTCTAACCAGGGTTTCTGAGCGACTCAACACAGATTCAGAGCTTGGGATGCAATGGGCAGGCCTTCTGCAGGATCTCCAACATTTCGTGCCAGAGGCAATATCAGCCAAATCTACAAAAGCAGCCAGGCTGATGAATAAGGCACTACTTGTTTGGAGAAACACTACTTGTGAGACGGACCAAGAGGCATATGTTTCTTCATTGGAGCAATCACTTGGAGTAGTGGAGACTGGCGACCTTTGCCAGATCCGCTCCATATTCCGGCGGGCAGTGGCAGCATTGTCTCCACCTCACTGTACAAGTCCAGTTGCTGAAAAAACATCAGGTTCTTTGCTGCAGCTGAAATGGACGCTGCCAGATCTTCAATCACGGCTCCGAGAAGTAGTTTTGAGATGTCTAGACCACCTAGATCTAGCTGATTGCAAGGTGGAGCCGGCCTTGCAGTTCCTCAAAGCGCTGGTTGCTCGGTTCCAGGAGCTTGACGCCCAGGATGGAGATATCAAGATTGGGTGCAAACATCATTGGCGATTGCTGGAGGAAAAGTGTGGCCTTGCTAATCATAAGGCCACTCTGGCCTCTCAAGCTGGCAATAGGAAAGAGGCATTCAAGCGTTGTGAGCACGGCGCTAGACCCGACAAATGCCGAATATGCCGTCCTTGCCCACATGGCAAGGTCAAGAACTTTTGTGAGAAATGCTTCCCGTGCCCCCATGGCAAAGTCAAGTGGAACTGCGCCGAGTGCTATGGCTGCATTCATGGACGAGGCAAGTATCACTGTCGTGTGTGCAATGCTTGCGTTCATGGCCGGAACAAGTACAAATGCAAAGTGTGCAGACTGGAGAAGGAGGAAAAAAGGACAAAAAATGATTTGTTTGTTGTGTCATGTTCTGCAAACAACTGAGCCAAAGTCTGCGCCAACAAGGGCTTGCTTTAGAGGGATGCGCATTCATGGAACATGATAGATTGAAGCAACACCATGTTTATAAATTGGTTTATATATAATATTACATCATTACTGTATATATCCATATTCTCACCCCCTAACCTTTTGCACCAAGTTTGTTTGACGGTGATGCGTTGAGGTGACTGAAACGTGTTGGGATAGACATCCTTCAATATCCTCAAGCACGTCCTCTAACATTCTTCTATCCCCAATTATCCTCAAGCATCCTTCAATTTGCCATGCACTATAATGGGCCTTCACTCTTTCAACTGGCTTAAGTATAGCTTTTGTTCGACGCTAAATTGCATTTGCATTTGTGATTCCTCCACCGGTAGGTGGACGTGCTATAAAGGCGGCGCAACCGGGCGGCCCCCGGGTCTGTCAGCAACAGGTTTGGTGGCTTGAAGTTCAAGCTTTCCAACTTCTTTTTAATCACAATGCAAGTCCCGAATCCGCGAACTTCAGAATCCGTTTGCACACTCCCTGTTCATTGACCAAGTTTGATTCCAGTTGATTTATGCGCTGATCCTCGCACACGTGGCAGCGATTCAGAACGTGACAAGGCAGATAGTTTAGGGAACATGAATCAACAAGACCTCGCATATATTGACTGTTCGTTCAGAGGGGTGTCGCCCACAACATTATCATTCTCGGACAATTTGGGATCAACCCCTGGACCTTCGGGGTTTCCCTGGTCACTTTGTGTGAACCGCACGTCTTCGGTTGATTCACCAGGCGACTCCCGTTGAATGCCTGCCCCCGGCACGACACCAAGTAAGTGAAAAAAAAACGGTTAGCCGAGCTTCAATAGCGCAGCAGTCAATGTCCTGAGTGATCAGCTTGTCAATCACTAGAAGTCCAAGACAGGCACTCTAGTCTATTTCTCATGTTCTCCATGTTTTCTGGAGCCGGATACCAGATAGACGCATTTCATGACACAAGTAAGTCGACGACTAGTGGAAACGTGCGGTTTGCGATGCCTTTCACTCTCACTCTCACACTCACTCACTCTCCCACACTCACTCTCAATTTGTAGTAACTAGAATAGATGTAATTAGTATCATCATCATCACCATCACCATCACCATCATCGTCATACCAACTTTTGGAAGTTCTCCGTTTCGTTTGGGTTTGCAATGCCTTCGAGAACCTTTGACGAGAGGCTATCCTATCACGCTCGTCGCTTTGAGGGAAAGAAACCTCAAAATGTCCTGAAGCGATATGAGCAGCGCTTTCACGTGGCACTGAAATCCGATGAGCTGCAGAAGCATGCATTTCATGTGGCTGCTTGGGTTGCAGAGCTTCCAGCTGAGCAGGTGTGTCTTCAGTATGATGGGTTGTCTGCCGTGTCACTTTTGCAGCAGTATGTGCAGTCCTTCAAGCAGGCGAAACCTTTGGGTGAACATTTGACAAAGGTTCTGACCAAGGTGTTTGCAAGAATACGCTCAGATTCAGAGCTTGAGATGCAATGCCGAGGCCTTTTGAATGATATCGGGCATTTCATTCCTGAAGCCAAGAAAGGTATAAAAGCAGCCAGGCTGATGAATAAAGCGATACTTGTTTGGAGAAACACTACTTGTGAGAAAGACCAAGAGGCATATGTTTCTTCATTGGAGCAATCACTTGAAGGAGTGGGAACTGACGACCTTTGCCAGATCCGCTCCATATTCCGGCGGGCAGTAGCTGCATTGTCTCCTCCACGCTGCGCAGTCGAGCACGCCGGAGGCACGGCAGATGCCTTGTCGCAACCAGGAGCAGCTAGAAGAGATGTGCAATTTCGGCTCCGGAAAGTCGTATTGACTTGTTTGGGACGCTTGGATTTAGATGATTCCAAGGTGCAGCCGGCCTTGCAGTTTCTCATATCGATCCTCAACAAGTTTCAGGAACTTGACACTGAACCCCACCAGATCGGTTGCCAGAAGCAGTGGCGTTTGCTGATAGTAAAGTGTGGCATGTCCTTTGCGAGTATAGAGGAGGACTCTGTAAGACCTCAAGCTCGGACGAAGCAGAAGCGCATTCTGTGTCCACATCAAAAGAGACGAGACATGTGCCGACTTTGCCACCCCTGCCCACATGGCAAGACTCGACACTTTTGCCGAATGTGCCATCCTTGTCCACATGGCAAGCTGAAGACACATTGCGAAAAGTGCACTCCATGTCCACATGGCAAGAACAAGCGCAACTGTAGAAAGTGCACTGCTTGTGAACATGGCAAGAGCAAATACCACTGTCTTGTGTGTAATGCTTGCTCTCATGGCCGGAACAAGTACAGATGCAAATTGTGTAAGCAAAAACCGGAAGAAAAGGAGGTTTGCTTAGTTCTTAGGCCTGCATCGTGTTCCGGGAACACTCTGTAGGAACAGTTCCAACCACCCGGGGCGCACTCTGCATGGTGCAATTGAACATGTCTTTTTCCCCACCTGCCAGGTGAGGGTTGTTAGATTTTATCACAGTTGTTCTTCCTCCTTCCTTCCTTCCTTCCTTCCTTCCTTCCTTCCTTCCTTCCTTCCTTCCTTCCT